AACATCTGCAAAAACTGAGCCTCAGAGTCTCAGACTCAGCCTGAGACTCAGTCTGAGACAGAGTCCTGCACGGGTCCATTTTTGGAGACAAACATCCGCCCGCACCTGCCCGCACCTGCCCGCACCTGTGCAGCACCGCACCCGCCCATTAACCTGTGATTATATCAAATTTAACCAACCAAACCCACCCAGACCCATTAACATTCCACCCATTACCCGCCCAAGCACAAGATAAATCAGGGTCAGCACATTAGTCCGACAGCCCAATAGTCCAGGACTGAACCAGGACTGAACCAGGACTACACCAGGTCTAAATCAGGTCTAAATCAGGTCTAAACCAGGTCTAAACCAATAGCACAGTGGTTGAGTCGATCTCCTCCGCTGATGGTTTTATGTAAAAACAGTAAAATCTCTCAGTCTGGTCCATTGTTCCGGGAAAAGACTGGAAATGTTTCTTGTTTCCAGGGCAACGGACGTTCTGGACACACGTCAAGTATTTTTCTCCCATTCATTGTCCCGCCCGTGTGTAATCACTATTTATTTATTTATTTATTTATATATTTATTTATTTATTTGAGACAGAGACAGCGCACAATTTCTACATTTTTATGGTTTTTACCGCCTGTTTCAGCAAATATTTGCAGTACCTGACCCGGTGCAGGACTCTGGTCTGACACTGTGTGTGTTTTGTTTTTTTTCAGAGGCAGAAGTTGGAGTCTCCTCAGAACGACCTTCAGTCTCCCACAGACACACAGGTCAGAGATGAACCGTTTTACACTTTTATCTCCTGTTTTAGAATAACAGGAACAGCAAAAGGGCAAAAGTCTTTACACCAAGAACCAGAACTAAACCAGGACTAAACCAGGACTAAACCCAGGACTAAACCAGGACTAAACCAGGACTAACGAGGTCTTAAATGGGTCTATACTGACCCGCGGTTTAGACCAGACTAAACCATAATCCAGGACTAAAGTCTGATGATCTGGATGTACAAATAAAGACAGAAGTGCAGGAACCTCGTTGTACCAGCAGAGGGAGCCCACGCCTCACACTCCCAGAACACTGTGTTTATTTATTTATTTGTTTATTTATTTATTTTCTTTTTTCCAGACTCTTTGTTTCTTCCCTGAGCTCCAGAAAAGTCCCTTCAGTGTCTCCTCTGATGAGCCCCGACCTCCACAACGCAAACACAGGTGAGACGCACACACAAACACACAACAAATAAACCACACACAGGTGAGACGCACACACACCTGACACACAACAAATAAACCACACACAGGTGAGACGCACACACAACACACAACAAATAAACCACACACAGGTGAGACACACACACAACAACACACACAAATAAACCACACACAGGTGAGACGCACACACAACACACACAAATAAACACAATAAACCACACACAGGTGAGACGCACACACACCTGACACACAACAAATAAACCACACACAGGTGAGACGCACACACACAAACACACAACAAATAAACCACACACAGGTGAGACGCACACACAAACACACAACAAATAAACCACACACAGGTGAGACACACACACAAACACACAACAAATAAACCACACACAGGTGAGACGACACACACACAAACACACAACAAATAAACCACACACAGGTGAGACGCACACACACCTGACACACAACAAATAAACCACACACAGGTGAGACGCACACACACACAAAACACACACACAATAAACCACACACAGGTGAGACACACACACACACAACAAACACACACACACACATAAACCACACACAGGTGAGACGCACACACACACACACAAACACACACAACACACATAAACCACAACACACAGGTGAGACACACACACACACAACACACACAACAAAATAAACCACACACAGGTGAGAGACGCACACACAACACACAACAAATAAACCACACACAGGTGAGACACGCACACACACCAACACACAACACACAACAAATAAACCACACACACACACAAACACACACACACACAAATAAACCACACACAGGTGAGACACACACACAAACACACAACAAATAAACCACACACAGGTGAGACGCACACACACCTGACACACAACAAATAAACCACACACAGGTGAGACGCACACACACCTGACACACAACAAATAAACCACACACAGGTGAGACGCACACACACCTGACACACAACAAATAAACCACACACAGGTGAGACGCACACACAAACACACAACAAATAAACCACACACAGGTGAGACGCACACACAAACACACAACAAATAAACCACACACAGGTGAGACGCACACACACAAACACACAACAAATAAACCACACACAGGTGAGACGCACACACACACACACACACAACACAATAAACACACACACAGGTGAGACGCACACACACACTGACACACAACAAATAAACCACACACAGGTGAGACGCACACACACACACAAACACACACACAAATAAACCACACACAGGTGAGACGCACACACACAACATAAACCACACACAGGTGGAGACGCACACACAACAACACAAACACACCACACAGGTGAGACGCACACACACACACAACACAACACACACAAAAACCACACACAGGTGAGACGCACACACACACACACAACAAATAAACCACACACAGGTGAGACACACACACAAACACACAACAAATAAACCACACACAGGTGAGACACACACACAAACACACAACAAATAAACCACACACAGGTGAGACGCACACACACAAGACACACAACAAATAAACCACACACAGGTGAGACACACACACACACACAACAAATAAACCACACACAGGTGAGACACACACACACACAACAGGTGAGACACACACACACACACATAAACACACACACAACACACAACAAATAAACCACACACAGGTGAGACGCACACACAAACACACAACAAATAAACCACACACAGGTGAGACGCACACAGAGTCGGGGAGTGGACCTGGGTTCGTTCTGGTGTTTCTGGTAGAACTGAAGCAGCTTCTTGAAGTTTCCTGAAGTTTCCCCAGTGATCGTGACACTGAAATAATCGACCATTTACAGACGTCAGAGTGAAAGTGAGTCAGACCCTCGTTAACCTCCACCTCTGACAGAGTTTTCAGATCGACAGAATCGAGCCGGTGCCAGTTCCCGCACCTAGTCTCAAACCAACTGATGTGTTCTCGCTGAAAATCTGAGCGTTTGGGACCCGAAAAAGTAAAACTTGTTTTTTCCCAGTGAATTGTGAGGACAGAGTGGACGTGCGCAGGTTCATCAGGTCACACACGGGAAAATAAACCAAGAAAACCTGTGTGAAACATGGAGGAGAAATCAAGAGACAGAAGATTGAGCCGTGGTCAGAGGATGAGAACAAATATTTACTGTATCTGTGTTCGACCAGTGAGGTTCTCCACAACACAGCAGATGTTCCTCCACAGCAGATGTTCCTCCACAGCAGATGTTCCTCCACAGCAGATGTTCCTCCACAGCAGATGTTCCTCCACAGCAGATGTTCCTCCACACAGCGATTTCCTCCACAGCAGATGTTCCTCCACAGCAGATGTTCCTCCACAGCAGATGTTCACAGCAGATGTTCCTCCACAGACAGATGTTTGTTCACAGCAGATGTTCGTCCACAGCACAGCAGATGTTCGTCCACAGCAGATGTTTGCCCACAGCAGATGTTTCTCCACAGACAGATGTTGGTGCAGATAAATCATGATTTATCTGAGTCCAAACTCTCGTTGGTGTCGATGGTTTGATCCATGATTGTTCTTTTCCTCTTTCGTACGACCTTGTTTTTATTTGATGATCGTCCTGGGTTCATTTAAACTGTTTGAATGTGGCTCGTTCACTGGTGGAACTGGTGCGGGAACCGACAGACCAACCTGAAAACTGCTACTGTGAAAGTGAAAGTGAAAGTGAGTCAGACCCTCGTTAACCTCCGCCTCTGTGAACATCAGCACAGATCAGTTTGGTTCTTTCTTCTCCGGTTCTGTGCGTGTATAAATCCATGTGGTTTGTTCTTCCAGATCCGTCCCTCCGCCCCGTGACCCCTGACCCCTCGTGTTCCCCCGTGACCTCCGACCCCTCGTGCTCCCCCGTGACCTCTGACCCCTCGTGTTGCCCCGTGGTCCCGGGGCAGGAGACGCTCATCGAGATCTGCAAAGGACGATCGGGACTCGGACTGAGCATCGTCGGAGGAACAGACACACAACTGGTACGGTTAATATTCACCGACTAACGAGATAACGAGATAACGAGGTAACGAGGTAATAGTACTGATATTACTGTGAAGATTGAAGAGTAAAGATTATTGGCCTGTGAAATGTTTTTTTTAAGTCTTGGTCTTGGCCCTTGACTCGTTTTCACACCTGATAAAAACCCACGTACAATTTAATTTCATTTATTTCTTTGTTTGAGCAGGTACAACAAAATTCTAAAACAATAACAAAATTTGTGATATAAACATGAACATATTTGGGACCTGGTGCTCAAAAGGAGGAGGACTGGAGTCCTACCCCAATTGTTTTACATAATCACGTGGTTCACTTTCTTTTTTTTTTTATCACCTTTGAAGTGCTTACCTGTCATTTGCCAAAAAAAAAAATATATATATACCCACATATATACAAAAACATATCCACATATACTTACATACATATGCAAGTACACACACTTGTACACACATATGTACATACATACATACATATACACATAGATATCAGTAGATATACTCACATACACACATATACATGTCAACATATACACACATGCAGAAACATTTCTGTTTGTAGTCGCACAAACTAATAATAATGTTAATCTAGGCACAAAGTTTATTGTTTTTGATCGTACAAAATAAACAGTAATGAGAATGAACGTCCAAAACCCAGTGATGAAGCTTTTCTAAACCTGTGTGTGTGTGTGTGTGTGTGTGTGTGTGTGTGTCCGTGTTGTGTGTGTGTGTGTTTGTGTGTGTGTGTGTGTCTGTTGTGTGTGTGTGTCTGTGTGTGTGTGTGTGTGTCTGTGTTGTGTGTGTGTGTCTGTGTGTGTTGTGTGTGTGTGTGTGTGTGTGTCTGTGTGTGTCTGTGTGTGTCTGTGTGTGTGTGTCTGTGTGTGTGTGTGTGTGTGTCTGTTTGTGTGTGTGTGTGTGTTGTGTGTGTGTGTGTCTGTGTGTGTGTTTTGTGTGTGTGTGTGTCTGTGTGTGTCTGTTGTGTGTGTGTTGTGTGTGTCTGTGTGTGTCTGTGTGTGTCTGTGTGTGTCTTTGTGTGTGTGTGTGTGTGTCTGTTTGTGTGTGTGTGTTTGTGTCAGAACGCCATCGTGATCCATGAGGTTTACCAGGAGGGGGCAGCAGCGAGAGACGGGAGGCTTTGGGCCGGAGACCAGATCCTGGAGGTGAGAAACATGAAGAAATATCTGACCAGGACCAGGACCAGGACCAGGACCAGGATCTGTTGTGTCATGCTCTCCTCTCTTTCCTTTTCTTCTCTCTCCTCGTCTCCACTTCTTCACCTGCACTGAACTTAAAATTTAAACACACACTGGGGAAACACTCAGGCTCTGGAGTGTTTGACTTTACTTTTTTTTTCCCCCCATCGGCCACATCAACAGTGAAATAAAACAAAATAATAATAATAAAAACATTTTTACAGTTTGTGCAAAAAACAAACAAACAAACAAAAAAAATTTTTTTGAGGCATTGGCGCAAAAAAAAAAAAAAAAAGCAAATGGAGCCCAATTTTTATTTTATTTAATTGTATTTTTTTGCCGCTCAGGGCTTCCGTACAATTTTCTTCTTTAGCTAAACACACTCTCTCCTCCTCTCATCCCTCTCTTCTCTCCTCCTCTCATCCCTCTCTTCTCTCCTCCTCACTCTTTTCCTCCTCTCCTCTTCTTCTCTCATCCATCTCTACTCTTCCCTCTTTCTTTAAATAAACAGCATCTCTCTGTTTTCACTTCTCTACTCTCCTCTTCTCCTCCTCTCATCCCTCTTTCCTCTCTCCTCTCCTCCTCCAGGTGAACGGCGTGTCTCTCCTCCTCCTCTCATCCCTCTCTTCCTCTCCTCCTCCTCCAGGTGAACGGCGTGTCTCTCCTCCTCCTCATCCCTCTCTTCCTCTCCTCCTCCTGCAGGTGAACGGCGTGTCTCTCCTCCTCTCATTCCCTCTCTTCCTCTCCTCCTCCTGCAGGTGAACGGCGTGTCTCTCCTCCTCCTCTCATCCCTCTCTTCCTCTCCTCCTCCTCCAGGTGAACGGCGTGTCTCTCCTCCTCTCATCCCTCTCTTCCTCTCCTCCTCCTCCAGGTGAACGGCGTGTCTCTCCTCCTCCTCTCATCCCCTCTCTCCCTCTCCTCCTCCTGCAGGTGACGGCGTGGTCTCCTCCTCCTCCTCTCATCCCTCTCTTCTCTCCTCCTCCTCCAGGTGAACGGCGTGTCTCTCCTCCTCCTCTCATCCCTCTCCTTCCTCTCCTCCTCCTGCAGGTGAACGGCGTGTCTCTCCTCCTCTCATCCCTCTCTTCCTCTCCTCCTCCTGCAGGTGAACGGCGTGTCTCTCCTCCTCCTCTCATCCCTCTCTTTCCTCTCCTCCTCCTCTGAACGGCGTGTCTCTCCTCCTCCTCTCATCTCTCTCTCTTCCTCTCCTCCTGCAGGTGAACGGCGTGTCTCTCCTCCTCCTCTCATCCCTCTCTTCCTCTCCTCCTCCTGCAGGTGAACGGCGTGTCTCTCCTCCTCTCATCCCTCTCTCTCCTCTCCTCCTGCAGGTGAACGGCGTCTCCTCCTCCTCCTCTCATCCCTCTCTTCCTCTCCTCCTCCTGCAGGTGAACGGCGTGTCTCTCCTCCTCCTCTCATCCTCTCTCCTCCTCTCCTCCTCCTGCCAGGTGAACGGCGTGTCTCTCTCCTCCTCTCATCCCTCTCTCTTCCTCTCCTCCTGCAGGTGAACGGTGTCTCTCCTCTCCTCTCATCCTCTCTTCCTCTCCTCCTCCAGGTGAACGGCGTGTCTCTCCTCCTCCTCTCATCCCTCTCTTCCTCTCCTCCTCCAGGTGACGGCGTGTCTCTCTCCTCCTCTCATCCCTCTCTTCCTCTCCTCCTCCTGCAGGTGAACGGCGTGTCTCTCCTCCTCTCATCCCTCTCTTCCTCTCCTCCTCCAGGTGAACGGCGTGTCTCTCCTCCTCCTCTCATCCCTCTCTTCCTCTCCTCCTCCTCCAGGTGAACGGCGTGTCTCTCCTCCTCTCATCCCTCTCTTCCTCTCCTCCTCCTGCAGGTGAACGGCGTGTCTCTCCTCCTCCTCTCATCCCTCTCTTCCTCTCCTCCTCCTGCAGGTGAACGGCGTGTCTCTCCTCCTCTCATCCCTCTCTTCCTCTCCTCCTCCTGCAGGTGAACGGCGTGTCTCTCCTCCTCTCATCCCCTCTCTTCCTCTCCTCCTCCTGCAGGTGAACGGCGTGTCTCTCCTCCTCTCATCCCTCTCTTCCTCTCCTCCTCCTGCAGGTGAACGGCGTGTCTCTCCTCCTCCTTCATCCCTCCTTTCCTCTCCCTCCTTTTCTCCTCCTCCTCTCATCCCTCTCTTCCTCTCCTCCTCCTGCAGGTGAACGGCGTGTCTCTCCTCCTCTCATCCCTCTCTTCCTCTCCTCCTCCTCCAGGTGAACGGCGTGTCTCTCCGTTCTTCGTCTCACGAGGAGGCCATCTCTCTTCTGCGTCAGACTCCGTGTCGTGTGCGTCTGAAGGTTCTGCGGGTCGAGTGTTCGGAGCAGAACCTGCAGCTGCTCACGGTCCAGCTGCACAAGAGGAGTGGGCGGGGCCTCGGACTCAGCATCGTCGGGAAGAGGCAAAGACGCACAACAAACACAACAAACACACACACACACACAAGCCACACGCACACTAACACACCCTCAAGATACACACAAGCGCACACAACAAACACACACAACACACACACACAACAAACACACACAACACACACAACAACACACACAACACACACAACAAAACACACACACACAACAAACAAACACACACAACACACACACACACAAACACACACAAACACACACAAACACACACAAACACACACAACAAACACACACTAACACACCTCAAGATACACACAACACACACAACAAACACACACAACACACACAACAAACACACACAACAAACAAACACACACACAAACACACACAACACACACTAACACACCCTCAAGATACACACAAGCGCACACAACAAACACACACAACACACACAACAAACACACACAACACACACACACAACAAACACACACAACAACAAACACACACAACACACACAACAAACACACACAACAAACACACACAACACACAACACACAACACAAACACACACACAAACACACACACAACACACACACACAACACACACATAACAAACAAACACAACAACACACACAACAACACAACACACACACAAACACACACTAACACACCCTCAAGATACACACAAGCACACACAACAAACACACACAACACACACAACAAACACACACAACACACACAACAAACACACACAACAAACACACACAAACACACTAACACACCCTCAAGATACACACAAGCACACACAAACACACACAACAAACACACACAACAAACAAACACACACAACAAACACACACAAACACACTAACACACCCTCAAGATACACACAAGCACACACAAACACACACAACAAACACACACAACAAACAAACACACACAACAAACACACACAAACACACTAACACACCCTCAAGATACACACAAGCACACACAAACACACACAACACACACAACAAACACACACAACAAACAAACACACACAACAAACACACACACACACAACAACTACACACACCTCAAGATACACACAAGCACACACAAACACACACAACAAACACACACAACACACACAACAAACACACAAGATACACACAAGATACACACAATACACACACACACAAGCCACACGCACACTAACACACCCTCAAGATACACACAAACACACACAACAAACACACACAACACAAACACAAACACACACAACAAACACAAAACACACACAACAAACACACACAACAAACACACACAACAAACACAAAACACACAACAACAACACACAAACACACACAACAACACACACAACAAACACACACAACACACACACAACAACACACACAACAAACACACACAACAAACAAACACAACAAACACACACACAACAAACACACAACAAACACACACAACAACACACACAACACACACAAACAACACAAAACACACACAACAACACACACAACAAACACACACACAAACACACACACAACAAACACACACAACAAACACACACAACAAACACACACACACACACACAACACAACACAACACACAACACACAACACAACACACACACACAACACAAACACACAAAACACAACACACAACACACACACAACACAACACAAACACACAACACACAACACACACAACACACACAACAAACACACACACCACAAACAACACAACACAACAAACAAACAAACACACACAACAACAAACACACACAACAACAAACACACACACACAAACACACACACAACAAACACACACACACAAACAAACACACACAACAAACACACACACACACAACAACACAAACACACACACACACAAACAAACACACACACACACAAACACACACAACAAACACACACACAACACACACACACACACACAACACAACAAACACACACAACACACACAACAACACAACACAACAAACAACACAACACAACAAACAAACACACACAAACACACACAACAAACACACACACACACACACACACACACACACACACACAACACACACACACACACAACAAACACACAACAAACACACAACAACACACAACAAACACACACACACACACACAACACACAACAACACACACACAAACAACACACACACAACAAACACAACAAACACAACAACACACAACAACACACACAACAAACACACACACACACACAACAAACACACACAACACAACAACACACACACACACAACACACACACACACACACAACACACACACAAACACACACAAAACAACACACAAGCACACACAACAAACACAACACAAACACAACACAACACACACACAACACACACAACAACACAACACACAACAAAACAAACAACACACACACAAACACACACAAACACACTAACACACCCTCAAGATACACACAAGCACACACAAACACACACAACAAACACACACAACAAACACACACAACAAACACACACAACACACACAACAAACACACAAGATACACACAAGATACACACAATACACACACACACAAGCCACACACACACACTAACACACCTCAAACACACAAACACACACAACACACACACACAAAACACACACAACAAACACACACACAACAAACACACACAACAAACACACACAACAAACACACACACAAACACACACAACACACACACACACAACACACACACACACACAACACACACACACACAACACACACACACACACAACAAACACACACACACACAACACAACACAACACACACAACACACACACAAGATACAGACACAGAAACACAGAAACACACAAACACACACATGCAAGATACACATAAACACAGTGAGTAACAGTGACAGAGAGGGTCATTAGGTGTGTGCAGGTGTACCCAGGTGTACCCAGGTGTGTGCAGGGGTGCCCAGGTGTACCCAGGTGTGTGCACGTGTATCCAGGTGTATCCAGGTGTACCCAGGTGTGTGCAGGTGTATCCAGGTGTACCCAGGTGTACCCAGGTGTGTGCAGGTGTATCCAGGTGTACCCAGGTGTACCCAGGTGTGTGCAGGTGTATCCAGGTGTATGTAGGTGTATGTACCCAGGTGTACCCCAGGTGTATCCAGGTGTACCCAGGTGTACCCAGGTGTGTGCAGGTGTATCCAGGTGTATCCAGGTGTATGTACCCAGGTGTGTGCAGGTGTATCCAGGTGTATCCAGGTGTATCCAGGTGTACCCAGGTGTGTGCAGGTGTATCCAGGTGTACCCAGGTGTGTGCAGGTGTATCCAGGTGTATCCAGGTGTACCCAGGTGTGTGCAGGTGTATCCAGGTGTATCCAGGTGTGCCCAGGTGTGTGCAGGTGTATCCAGGTGTACCCAGGTGTGTGCAGGTGTATCCAGGTGTATCCAGGTGTGTGCCCAGGTGTGTGCAGGTGTATCCAGGTGTACCCAGGTGTACCCAGGTGTGTGCAGGTGTATCCAGGTGTACCCAGGTGTACCCAGGTGTACCCAGGTGTGCGCAGGTGTGTGCAGGTGTACCCAGGTGTACCCAGGTGTGCGCAGGTGTGTGCAGGTGTACCCAGGTGTACCCAGGTGTGCGCAGGTGTAGGTGTGTGTGTACCAGGTGTACCCAGGTGTGTGCAGGTGTATCCAGGTGTACCCAGGTGTACCCAGGTGTGCGCAGGTGTGTGCAGGTGTACCCAGGTGTGCCCAGGAGCCTGTTAAGGTGATTGTCCAAACAGAAAGTAGATAGAGCTTTGACTTTTCCAGATCCAGTGAATAAAATGTTTAAATAAACTCAGGTTGTTCTGTCCTGAAAATGTCACAGATAATCTCCTCCAGGTTAAACTGTGATTGTTTTTATTTATGGTTTCAGTTTCCATTTTCCAAAAAATATTTTAAGTCTTGGTCCTCAGCACACACAGACTCACAGTGAGGAAGCTGGTGTAGAAAATAGAATCAGTTTCCTCTGAACACATGAACCGGACTCAGGAACCACACGGTCCTTTAGGTCCAGACTCTGATGACGCACACTTCAGGTCAGTGACTCGTGTGTGTGTCTGTGTGTTTGTGTGTGTTCTTATGTGTGTGTGTTTTTCAGGAGCGGCAGTGGCGTGTTCATCTCGGAGGTGGTCAGAGGAGGCGCCGCGGAGCTGGACGGGCGTCTGATGCAGGGAGACCAGATCCTGTCTGTGAACGAGGAGGACACGAGGAGCTCCACGCAGGAAACCGTCGCCGCCATGTTGAAGGTGAAACCTCCAAAGACACAACAACAAACAGAAACACTCTAGATTCAGAACGTGTGAAAACTAAACACACAGATGTGACGCTTGACGCATTCATCCACCTACACGTTAACAACAAGCCACAAATGTAGACAAATGTTCTTCTCGTCATACAAAAATTGTTAATGAACTCTGTGTGACTGAAGTGAAGCACATCTCCACTCACCACAAAACACCACCACCAAAAACCTGGTCCTTCTCCTTCTCAATCTCCTCCTTAAAACAAGTCAGTTGTTCATGTTGTGGCTCCGGTACGAGAGGAACTTTAAAATCTCCAGGTGCTCGATGCTGCGTCCATGTTTGGACAACTTGTGTAAACACAGAGACGCTCGCTGCGGTTGACGTCGTCGTGTCTCCAGTGTCACATGTGGGACACTTTTGGACCGTTTACTGTTCACACTGGAGTCACATACAAGCCACATTTAACTGGAAATGTGAACGACCTCGAAAAAACATCGGATTTCACAAAAAAATCTGAATTGAGCGTTAAGCTGCAGTATGAACGTAGACTAAATGTAATGTTTGTGCTGGTTTGAGTTTCAGGAGCAGATCAGATACAAACAGTTTGTAACACGTCTGTTCTTCTAACACAGAGCTCCTGTTGGACTCTCGATTTCACTCCACTATTCGATTATTTGTTCGTCTTCAGACAGTAAAATAGTTCTTCTGTGTCATAGACTCCAGTTTTGTCCTTTCACACCAAACAATTTTGATCCAGCTGATGTTTATCCAAGGCTTCTGCGCACAGCGGGTTCCTCTGCTCGAGGAGGAAGAAGCTCTCTGACACGCCAGACCTCTCTGAAGCGAGGCCGAGACTACCTCATGGAGTAGTAGTCTCCACCACGGACAGAGCAAGCCAGTCCCTTTCCGTCCAAGCAGAAGCCAACCTCCGGCGAGCTCGGACTTGCGAATCTACAATCCTGACCCCCGTCACACCCCTGATCCTGATCGTGTCGACCCGGTGCACACAGGTGGACCTCAGATGTTGGTCTCAGATGAAGCGGTGCAGGTCTAAGTCCACACGGTCTCTGCAGGGAAACTCCCAGAGCCTCTTTAAATCAGTTCTGGTTCTTTTAGTCGCTCTATCGTGACTTGGAGCAGGTTTGGCCGCGGGTCGAGCTTTGCCCCTCGTCTTCTTCACTGTCCACAAACAGGAAATGACATCATGAGTTTCCCCTCCCATGATGCATCTGGAACAGTTGGTTTGGACCGACTGCCTCTGGTTTGGACCTGAGTTGGCGTCTCACCAGAGCGACCGGAGTTTGGAGTTTGGTGCAGAGTCGAGCGACCGAGACCAGATCGTTTGATTTAGAACAGATCTGAGTGTGACTGAAACTTTTAACAAAAAACAAAACCAAACAAAACCAACACAACTAAAAGCTTCTGGATTCAGTGGAACATTTGGTGCAACAACTGATGTCGGTCTGAAAGAACTAAAACACCTCTGTGAAACCTTTCTGTAAAACACACTAAACCTGATCTGAACGTGAGTAAAACCTCTGTCTGTCTGTGTGTGTGTGTGTGTGTGTGTGTGTCTCTGTGTGTGTGTGTGTCTCTGTGTGTGTGTGTGTCTCTGTGTGTGTGTGTGTCTGTGTGTGTGTCTCTGTGTGTGTGTCTGTCTCTGTGTGTGTGTGTCTGTGTGTGTGTGTGTGTGTGTGTGTGTGTGTGTGTCTCTGTGTGTGTGTGTGTGTCTGTGTGTGTGTGTGTCTGTGTGTGTGTGTGTGTGTCTGTGTGTGTGTCTCTGTGTGTGTGTGTGTGTGTGTGTGTCTGTGTGTGTGTGTGTGTGTGTGTCTGTGTGTGTGTCTGTGTGTGTGTGTTTGTTTTTGTGTGTGTGTTTTTGTGTGTGTGTGTGTGTGTGTCTCTGTGTGTGTGTTTTTGTGTGTGTGTGTCTCTCTGTGTGTGTGTTTGTGTGTGTGTGTGTGTTTTTGTGTGTGTGTGTGTTTGTTTGTGTGTGTGTGTGTGTTTGTGTGTGTGTGTGTGTCTCTGTGTGTGTGTTTTTTGTGTGTGTGTGTGTGTGTGTGTGTGTGTGTGTGTGTGTGTGTGTTTTTTGTGTGTTGTGTGTGTGTTTGTGTGTGTTGTGTGTGTGTTTGTGTGTGTGTTTTGTGTGTGTGTGTGTGTGTGTGTGTGTGTGTGTGTTGTGTGTGTGTGTGTGTGTGTGTGTTTGTGTGTGTGTGTGTTTTTGTGTGTGTGTTTGTGTGTCTCAGTGCGCCAGAGGAGCTGTTCTCCTGGAGGTCGGGCGACTCAAAGCGGCTTCGTGGATCTCCCCCAAAACCAACAAGAACCAGACCCAGATCCAGACCGAGACCTGCCCCCGAGTCTCTGCCACCACCCCGACCCCGACCCCGACCCCTGACCCCCCGTGACCCCCGTGACCCCCGACCCCGAGCCTCTGCCCCACGACAACAACAACAAACCCAACGACGTCACCTCCTCTGCACAGACCAACAGCCCAGGTACACACAGAGACCTGACACACACAGAGAGAGGACCTGACACACACAGAGGACCTGACACACACAGAGAGGACCTGACACACACAGAGAGGACCTGACACACACAGAGAGAGGACCTGACACACACAGAGAGAGACCTGACACACACAGAGAGAGGACCTGACACACACAGAGAGGACCTGACACACACAGAGAGGACCTGACACACACAGAGAGAGACCTGACACACACAGAGAGGACCTGACACACACAGAGAGGACCTGACACACACAGAGAGGACCTGACACACACAGAGAGAGGACCTGACACACACAGAGAGGACCTGACACACACGGGGAGGGACCTGACACACACGGGGAGGGACCTGACACACACAGGGAGGACCTGACACACACAGAGAGGGACCTGACACACACAGAGGACCTGACACACACAGAGAGGACCTGACACACACACCTGAGAGAGGACCTGACACACACAGAGAGGACCTGACACACAGAGAGGGACCTGACACACAGAGAGAGAGGACCTGACACACACACGGGGAGGGACCTGACACACACACAGGAGGGACCTGACACACACAGAGAGGACCTGACACACACAGAGAGGACCTGACACACACAGAGACCTGACACACAGAGAGAGGACCTGACACACACAGAGAGGACCTGACACACACAGAGAGGACCTGACACACACAGAGAGGACCTGACACACACAGAGAGGACCTGACACACACAGAGAGGACCTGACACACACAGAGAGGGACCTGACACACACAGAGAGGACCTGACACACACACAGAGAGGACCTGACACACACAGAGAGGACCTGACACACACACAGAGAGGGACCTGACACACACAGAGAGGGACCTGACACACACAGAGAGGACCTGACACACACAGAGAGGGACCTGACACACACAGAGAGGACCTGACACACACAGAGAGGGACCTGACACACACAGAGAGGACCTGACACACAGAGAGAGGACCTGACACACACAGAGAGAGGGACCTGACACACACAGAGAGGGACCTGACACACACAGAGAGGGACCTGACACACACACAGGAGAGGGACCTGACACACACACAGGAGGACCTGACACACACAGAGACCTGACACACAGAGAGGACCTGACACACACAGGAGACCTGGACCTGACACACACGAGAGGAACCTGACACACACAGAGAGGACCTGACACACACAGAGAGGACCTGACACACACAGAGAGAGGACCTGACACACACAGGAGGGACCTGACACACACACGGGGAGGGACCTGACACACACACGGGGAGGGACCTGACACACACAGAGGACCTGACACACACAGAGAGGACCTGACACACACAGAGAGGACCTGACACACACAGAGAGGACCTGACACACACACAGAGGGACCTGACACACACACAGGAGGGACCTGACACACACAGGAGGGACCTGACACACACGGAGAGGGACCTGACACACACGGGGAGGGACCTGACACACACACAGGAGGGACCTGACACACACAGAGAGGGACCTGACACACACAGGAGGGACCTGACACACACACAGGAGGGACCTGACACACACACAGGAGGGACCTGACACACACAGACCTGACACACACAGAGAGGACCTGACACACACAGGAGGAGGGACCTGACACACACACGGGGAGGGACCTGACACACACACGGGAGGACCTGACACACACACGGGGAGGGACCTGACACACACACAGAGGGAGGGACCTGACACACACGGGGAGGGACCTGACACACACACGGGAGGGACCTGAGACACACACGGGGAGGGACCTGACACACACACGGGGAGGGACCTGACACACACGGGGAGGGACCTGACACACACACAGGAGGGACCTGACACACACACAGGAGGGACCTGACACACACATGGGGAGGGACCTGACACACACACGGGGAGGACATGTGTGTTAAATGTTGTTTGTGTGTTTGTGTGACAGGTGAAGAGTCTGGCGTTCGCTCTGTGGACATCACACGGGTAAAAACACTAAATCTAATCTGCTCAAACCTCAAACCTCAAACCTGATCTGGACACAACTCAGGACTCAACCAGGACCGAGCCGGACTGAACTGGACCAGGACCGGACCAGGACCAGGACAGGACTCAAATCAGGAGCCACAGGGGACAAAACACTGTTGTTGTGTCTTTAGGCAAGACACTTCAACCACATTGCCTCACATGAAAGTGGAGTGTGTGTGTGTGTGTGTGTGTGTGTGTGTGTGTGTGTGTGTGTGTGTGTGTGTGTGTGTGGTGGTGGTGGGCCAGTGGTGCAGATTGACAGGCTTGCTCCTGTCAGTCTGCCCCAGGGCAGCTGTGGCACAACAGGCTCTGACCTGCACAGAGAGGAGAGAAAAGAGCAGTTTAAATAAAACCAACCATTCATTTATTATTCAATAATTATCAATTATTATTCATAACTAGTTCAGCTTTAGTCAGTGGTTCTACTCCTGGTCCTGGTCCTGGTCCTGGTTGAGTCCTGGTTTAGTCCTGGTCCGGTCCTGGTCCAGTCCTGGTCCTGGTCCTGGTCCTGGTCCTGGTCCAGTCCTGGTCCTGGTCCTGTTTGAGTCCTGGTCTGGTTCTGTTTCAGACTCAGAGGGACTCTCTGGGCGTGAGTGTGGCGGGGGGGCGGGGCAGTCCTCTGGGGGACGTCCCTTTGTTCATCGCCATGATCCAGGCCAACGGAGTCGCCGCCAAGTCCAAGAAACTCAAGGTACAAACTCACACTCTGTTACACACAGACCGACACAAGACCGACACGAGACCACAACAAGACCACAACAAGACCACAACGAGACCACAACGAACGAGACCACAACAAGACCACAAAGACCACAACAAGACCACAACAAGACCACAACGACCACAACAAGACCACAACGAGACCACAGACCACAAGAACCACAACAAGACCACAACGACCACAACAAGACCACAACGAGACCACAACAAGACCGACACAAGACCACAACGAGACCACAACGAGAACACACAAGAACACAAGACCACAACGAGACACAACGAGACACAAACGAGACCACAACAACGAGAACACAACGAGACCACAACAACACAACAAGACCACAACGAGACCACAACGAGACCACAACAAGAACACAACAAGAACACAACGAGACCACAACGAGAACACAACGAGACCACAACGAGACCACAACAAGACCACAACGAGACCACAACAAGAACACAACGAGACCACAACGAGACCACAACGAGACCACAACGAGAACACAACGAGAACACAAGACACAACAGACCACAACAAGAACACAACAAGACCACAACAAGACCACAACAAGACCACAACAAGAACACAACGAGAACACAACAAGAACACAACGAGACCACAACGAGACCACAACGAGACCACAACAAGAACACAACAAGACCACAAGACACAACGAGACACAACGAGACACAACAAGACCACAACGAGACCACAACGAGACCACAACGAGAACACAACGAGAACACAAGACCACAACAAGAACACAACAAGAACACAACAAGACCACAACAAGACCACAACAAGAACACAACGAGAACACAACAAGCACACAACACAACGAGACCACAACGAGACCACAACGAGACCACAACAAGAACACAACAAGACACACAAGACCACAACAAGACCGACACAATGAGACCACAACAAGACCGACACAAGACCACAACGAGACCACAACGAGACCACAACGAGACACAACGAGACACAACGAGACCACAACAAGACCACAACAAGACCACAACAAGAACACAACAAGACCACAACAAGACCACAACAAGACCACAACAAGACACACAACAAGACCACCACACGTGCGACACACGTGTGTGAGTATGAGACAGAATCACATAAAACCTGAGGAGGTTCTCTTTCCTTGTGTTTTATAGGATTGTCTTGTGTATTTTCAGGTTATAGATTGTATAGTGTTGTATATTGTTGTGTATTTTGTGTGTTTGTGTGTACTCTCAGGTTATATTGTTGTGTGTTTTTGTGTGTTTTGTGTGTTTGTGTGTACTTCAGGTGGGTGATCGGATCGTGAGCATAAACGGGCAGAGTGTGGATTCTCTGACTCACAGTGAAGTCGTGTCTCTGCTCAAAAACTCCTACGGAAACATCAACCTGCAGGTCAAAACTCACACAACAACAACACAAAACTCACCCAACAGAGGGTATTTACTCTGTGTGGTGTTACAGAGGGATATTTATTTATCTCTTTAACGTTCGTTCGTTCTTTCATTCTTTCTTTGGTTCTTCTTCTCTTGCAGGTTGTTGCAGACACAAACATTTCTGCGATCGCGTCTCACGTGGAGAGTTTGTCGAGCAGCTCGGCGCTCTCGTCCAACACGGAGACCAACGAACCCGAGTAAGACCCTGACCCTGACCCCTGACCTCTGACCCCTGACCTCTGACCCCTGACTGTTTCATCTTTATACAATCTTAATTTCTTTCCTTCATGTCTCAACTCTCCATGCTGGTTTTGTGTTTATATTTCCTGTTTGTGTTTATACTTCCTGTTTATCTTTCCTGTTTGTATTGTCATTTCCTGTCTGTATTTCCTGTTTGTGTTGACATTTCCTGTTTGTGTTAATACTTCCTGTTTGTGTTTATATTTCCTGTTTGTGTTGATACTTCCTGTTTGTGTTTATCTTTCCTGTTTGTGTTTACGCTTTCTGTTTGTGTTTATACTTTCTGTTTGTGTTGATACTTCCTGTTTGTGTTGATACTTCCTGTTTGTGTTTATATTTCCTGTTTATTGTTGATACTTCCTGTTTGTGTTGACATTTCCTGTTTGTGTTTATGCTTTCTGTTTGTGTTTATACTTTCTGTTTGTGTTTATACTTTCTGTTTGTGTTTATGCTTTCTGTTTGTGTTGATACTTTCTGTTTGTGTTGATACTTCCTGTTTGTGTTGATACTTCCTGTTTGTGTTTATGTTGTATTTCTGTTTGTGTTGACTTCTGTTTGTGTTTACTTTTCTGTTTGTGTTACTTCTGTTTGTGTTTACTTTCTGTTTGTGTTGATACTTTCTGTTTGTGTTGATACTTCCTGTTTGTGTTGATACTTCCTGTTTGTGTTTATACTTCCTGTTTGTGTTGATACTTCCTGTTTGTGTTGATACTTCCTGTTTGTGTTTACATTTCCTGTTTGTGTTCAGCTCTCCGCGCTGTAAAACCATCGTCCTGCAGAAAGGTTCTGAGGGTTTGGGCTTCAGTATCGTTGGAGGATTCGGGAGTCCACACGGAGACCTGCCCATCTACGTCAAGACCGTCTTCAGCAAGGTCTGGACCGGGACTGGGACTGGACCAGGACCGGGACCGGGACTGGACCAGGACCGGGACCAGGGAACTGGACCAGGACCGGGACCAGGACCGGGACCAGGACTAGACCAAAAACTGAATGACGCTAAATGCCCTATGCCCCGTGTGTGTTGTGGTCTGTGTGTGTTGTGACCCCTGTGTGTGTCGTGGTCTGTGTGTACAGGGCGCGGCGGCGTTGGAGGGGCATGTGTGTCGTGGTCAGTGTGTGTTCTGACCCCTGTGTGTGTCGTGGTCTGTGTGTACAGGGCGCGGCGGCGTTGGAGGGGCGTGTGTGTCGTGGTCAGTGTGTGTTGTGACCCCTGTGTGTGTCGTGGTCTGTGTGTACAGGGCGCGGCGGCGTTGGAGGGGCGTGTGTGTCGTGGTCTGTGTGTGTTCTGACCCCTGTGTGTGTCGTGGTCTGTGTGTACAGGGCGCGGCGGCGTTGGAGGGGCGTGTGTGTCGTGGTCTGTGTGTGTTCTGACCCCTGTGTGTGTCGTGGTCTGTGTGTACAGGGCGCGGCGGCGTTGGAGGGGCGTGTGTGTCGTGGTCTGTGTGTGTTCTGACCCCTGTGTGTGTCGTGGTCTGTGTGTACAGGGCGCGGCGGCGTTGGAGGGGCGTGTGTGTCGTGGTCAGTGTGTGTTCTGACCCCTGTGTGTGTCGTGGTCTGTGTGTACAGGGCGCGGCGGCGTTGGAGGGGCGTCTGCGTCGTGGTCTGTGTGTGTTCTGACCCCTGTGTGTGTCGTGGTCTGTGTGTACAGGGCGCGGCGGCGTTGGAGGGGCGTCTGCGTCGTGGGGATCAGATCGTTTCGGTGAACGGAGAAACTCTGACAGGAGCGAGTCACCAGGAGGCAGTGACTCTGCTCAAGAGACAGAAACCAGGAGAAGTCGTCCTGGAAGTCCTGTCCTGAGACCAAGACCGAGACCAGGACTGAGACTAAACCAGGATAAACCAAGACTAAACCAGGAGAGGTCATCCTGCAAGTCCTGTCCTGAGACCAAGACCAAGACTGAGATCAGGACCAGGACTGAAACTGGACTGGGACCAAGACTAAACCAAGACTAAACCAAAACTACACTAGGTGGTCTTGCAAGTCCACCTCTGGACTTCGTCCCAAGATCGGGACGGAGTCCAGAGGTGAGACCAGGACCGGGACTGGGGCCAGGACCGTGACTGAGGGACTGAGACCGGGACCGAGGGACTGAAACCAGAACTGAGACCAGGACTAAACCAGGACTAAACCAAGACTTAACTAGAACTAAACCAGGACAAATAAGGTATAAATAAGGTATAAACCTGGACTGAAACAGGACTAAACCAGGACTAAACAAGGACTAAACCAGAACTAAACCAGGACTTGGACTGGTCTTCACCTTTAAGCAAAAAAGTGAGATGAAAACAGAAGTGGAGTCGGGTTTGTCAAAGGGACGAGTCTGAGTCTGAGAGTTTGAGAGTTTTTGGTTTTTCCACAGAATCAAAACTCGACGACTCGACGGGAAAAATCCAACAAATGTCACGTTTAGTTTAGTTTAGTTTAAATCTGAAGTTCTGTCACATATTTGCACAATTTACTATGTTTTTTTTAAATGATCTGCACATTTTTATCACTGTTTTTGTCTAATTCATGAAATCTTACAGCACAAAAAACCGACAACACTTTAACTTTTCTCATTTATTTAAAACCACAATCTTACTTTTGAAGAAGATTCACAAGTGCCATCGTTATTTTGTTTTTTTCAGTTCTTCACCTTTTCTTCTAACTCCACTTTTTATGTAGATTTAAAAAAAAGTCTTCCACAGAAAAACCCGTTTCAAGTGGTGATAGAACCGTCGTGAAATGAGTCGCGCTCTGATTCTGTGCTCCGTCCCCGAAAACTTTCTAAATGTAAAAATCTGTTCTTTCGTCGTCTTTTTTCGTTTTAAAGGTGGTTGTCTTAAATGTTCCGCAGTGTGGCTTTAAACCCGTGACCTTCAGATTCTAGAGAACGATCCTTTACACTGTTTATTTGATTTAATTCAAGTTTATGATTTGTATTTTCTTCTTGAAGGTGCATCTTTTTCCTCTCTCTGTCCGAGCAGACGGATCAGGTGCTACGGAGTAAGAAGCTTTCAAAAATATTCGTGCACGTAGAATAGAAATCGGTGCATATTTGTCTGTAGTTGCGCATAAAATAAATATTTGTAAACTCTCCAATGAGTCCAGTCGTACATCAAATATATCGTGTGTATTTTATCCATCAGAATACGAATCGAAAAGTTACGACGTCAAGAATTAAAATCACGAAAAAGAAAATTTACGATTAAACTTTCATCAGTACGAACACGAATTCACAGACGGGACTTTACTGTCAAAAACACTTCATCACTTCACAGACTTTATTTATCGAGCAGAAGAAACATCGATCGACAAGTGGGTTCATTCAGATTTATTGTAAAAATGTGAACCGAACGCTGCTGAGACAAAACATTTTTACAATAAATCTGAATGAATCCACTTGTTGTTGTTCTGTTGTAGCTCCTTGTTGTGTCATTCCTCTGTTTTTACACTGATCCAAACTTAAACATGCACAGTCTTGATAGAGTCTTGATAAAGTCTTGACAAAGTCTTGATAAAGTTTTGATAGAGTCTTGATAGAGTCTTGATAGAGTCTTGATAGAGTCTTGATAAAGTCTTGACAAAGTCTTGATAAAGTTTTGATAGAGTCTTGATAGAGTCTTGATAGAGTCTTGATAGAGTCTTGATAGTCTTGATAAAGTCTTGACAAAGTCTTGATAAAGTTTGATAAAGTCTTGATAGAGTCTTGATAGAGTCTTGATAGAGTCTTGATAGTCTTGAGTCTTGATAAAGTTTTGATAGAGTCTTGATAGAGTCTTGATAAAGTCTTGATAGAGTCTTGACAAAGTCTTGATAAAGTCTTGATAGAGTCTTGATAGAGTCTTGATAAAGTCTTGATAAAGTCTTGGTAAAGTCTTGATAGAGTCTTGATAGAGTCTTGATAGAGTCTTGATAGAGTCTTGATAAAGTCTTGATAAAGTCTTGATAGTCTTGATAGAGTCTTGATAGAGTCTTGGTAAAGTCTTGATAAAGTCTTGATAAAGTCTTGATAAAGTCTTGATAGAGTCTTGATAAAGTCTTGATAGAGTCTTGGTAAAGTCTTGATAGAGTCTTGATAGAGTCTTGATAAAGTCTTGATAGAGTCTTGATAGAGTCTTGGTAAAGTCTTGATAGAGTCTTGGTAAAGTCTTGATAGAGTCTTGGTAAAGTCTTGATAAAGTCTTGATAGAGTCTTGATAGAGTCTTGATAGAGTCTTGGTAAAGTCTTGATAGAGTCTTTGTAAAGTCTTGATAGAGTCTTGGTAAAGTCTTGATAAAGTCTTGATAGAGTCTTGATAGAGTCTTGATAGAGTCTTGGTAAAGTCTTGATAGAGTCTTGATAGAGTCTTGATAAAGTCTTGATAGAGTCTTGGTAAAGTCTTGATAGAGTCTTGGTAAAGTCTTGATAGAGTCTTGGTAAAGTCTTGATAGAGTCTTGGTAAAGTCTTGATAGAGTCTTGGTAAAGTCTTGATAGAGTCTTGGTAAAGTCTTGATAGAGTCTTGGTAAAGTCCCGTCTGTGAATTCGTGTTCGTATTGATGAAAGTTTAATCGTAAATTTTCATTTGGTGATTGTAATTTCTTGACGTCGTAACTTTTCGATTCGTATTCTGTTGGATAAAAAACACACGATATATTTGATGTACGACTGGACTCATTCGAGTTTTTACAAATATTTATTTTATGCTCAACTACAGACAAACATGCAGCGATTTCCCAAATACGCACGGATCTATTCTATGATTATTCACGAATATTTCTGAAAGCTTCTTACTCCACAAGGCGCCTTCGTTCCCCGCGGTCCCTCCCTCTCGCGTTTGATCGAGATTCTTCCTCTGAGCCGCTGAAAATAAACAAATAAACGGACTGTAGAATCTGAAACGCAGCGACACGTGTCAGATCTGTGGAGAGGCGAGCCCACTCTTTTGTTTTGTTTCACAGGCCAATAATTGTGAGCAGCAGATTCAAGACACAAAACGACTCAACAGAACAAAAGTAAAACATTAAAAGTATAAAATCTTCATCTGTTTCTAAAGATTCTGTGAAAATTTGAGGTTATTTCAACAAGAACTGACAAAATTATTGGCCTGCGAAATTCTGCCAGATTTTTTGGACACCTTGTATTGTATTGAGCAATAAAAATGAAATAAAGTTGAGATTTTAAAACGTTTAATGTCGTACTGTGAAACGTCCCGGCAAAGCAATAAGTAAAAGTTCCAGAGTGTAGCTTTAAAGTTGGTCCGAGGTCGGGAGCAGTGTCCTGTCTCTGTTCTCTCCAAAAGTCAGATCCTTAAATGTTTTGTTTTAGTTTTTTTTTTGTCCTCGGATCATCTCTGTCACGTCTGAGAGCACAGAAGACGAGCGCGGACTACAAAATGATGTCACTTCCTGTTTGTTGTAGTCCTCTGATGTCATTTCCTGTTTTCGTGCATAGATTAGTTTTATTTTTATACGAGTCGCTCACACTGTTTTCACTGTTTTCACGTTTTCAGAGGTGAATCGTTTGTCTGTGAAACGTAGAAACGAAGGATTGTCAAATATTTTTCATGTAAAAGCCTCAGAATGTTTCGATTTAGAGTTTGACGTTTAGTAAAAAGAATTTCTGCTCAAATTTCCGTCTCCTGTTTTTGTTGTTGTTTTTTTTAATATTGTCAAGTTTTTATTTGAGGAATGCAGGAAAACTCGAAAAACAGATACAAAGCAAATAGATGGATCAAGAATTTCAGACTTCCGGTCATTGCTTAATCCATACTGGGAAGGATTTTCCGAAAATGTGTCTATTGTCAAAGTCGATCTTTTCAAGTCTTTTGAACCACATCACTTTTGTTTCTGGTTCTGATATTGTCATATTTTAGTTTTGGGATTCGGACGTCGTAATTGTTGTGGTTGTTGGATCCTAACAGCGGAAAATGATTCCAGAAATGTGTTTGTGAACTTCATAAATGCAAAAGTGAATCAGATGTGTGTGACTCAAACCTCCGTTCAAAATGTTTCTCTTCCCAACAGAATTGAAAAATAGTGAAAGGTGAAGGTGATGGGCAGGATTGATCCACAGGAAGAACCAAAAGGAAACATTTGGCAAAACAAAATCCTGATCTCTTGTTCAGCCTCGGTTACAAATTTAAAAAGTCAACACCAAAGTGAAAGTCTCCAACTGTTCACCAAGAAACACCTTCCACTGCAAAGACCAAGACGTGATGTTTGTGTAAAACCACAAGAACAAGAAAGTGCAGCTCAGTCTGTTTGTCTTCTGCTCCTCTCCATTAACAAACGGGATTTTGTTTTGTCGTGGCTCCACATACAAAATGTTCTCTGTAAACTCGGGATCATTTCTTAGTCAGACAAATGTTTCCTTTTTGGTTCTTCCTGTGGATCAATCCTGCCCATCACCTTCACCTTTCACTATTTTTCAATTCCGTTGGGAAGAGAAACAGTTTGAACGGAGGTTTGAGTCACACACATCTGATTCACTTTTGCATTTATGAAGTTCACAAACACATTTCTGGAATCATTTTCCGCTGTTTGGATCCAACAACCACAACAATTACGACGTCCGAATCCCAGAAACAAAAGTGATTTGGTTCAAAAGACTTGAAAAGATCGACTTTGACAATAGACACGTCCCACTGGGAAAACAAACATGGAGGTTTGATGTTCACTTTTTCAGAAAATCCTTCCCAGTATGAACTGTGTGACGACCAGAAGTCTGAGATTTGTGATGCATTTATAGCAGTAGTAGAAGTTGAATTTTAGTCTGTGTTTCCCTTTGCTCCAGTGTTGTGTTCAGTTCTCATGAGTCTGTTCTGATTATTTCTAAACGTCTGAGTCTTTAGTTTAAAAGAGACGACAGTAAATGCACTGGCAGGATTTAGAATGTTCCAAAACTATAATCCCAAACCATAATGTGAGTGGAAAGAGTTAACACTTCAGATTTACACTAAAACTATGATCAATTCTACATGTGTAGGTGCTGGAAAGTCATGGAAAATTCACTTTAGCTCATGAAAAAGTCATGTAAAAGTTTAGAAATGTTGTGGGGACCCTGCACAATATTTCTTCATTACAGCAACAGTCAGTGGTGGAGTTTGTAGTTTGGGGGCCCCTGGTGAACTTGAGTTTGGGCTCCTCACAATAATGAAACTTTTTTTAAATTTTTATATATATATATATTTTAATTTATATTTTTAATCTTATCTTTTTAAATATATTTTAATTTATATTTTAAATTTTATCTTTTTTTTATATATTTAAATTTATATTTTTAATCTTACCTTTTTTAATATATTTTAATTTATATTTTTTATCTTATCTTTTTTAATATATTTTAATTTATATTTTTAATCTTATCTTTTAAAATATATTTTAATTTATATTTTTTATCTTATCTTTTTTATATATTTTATTTTATGTTTTTATCTTATCTTTTTATATGTATTTTAATTTATTTTTTTATTTTATCTTTTTATTTTTTTTGGAACTTATTTTTATTAAATAAATTTGGTGCAAGCCACATAATTATGAAACAGCAGCAAGGATGCAACACAAGTAAACTGATAACACAGTGACAGTATAGATACAGTCACACACAGTCTCCTCATTCATCTTTCATCATCTACACACACACACACACTACAACAAAAATCCTACAAAAGACAGTCGTCCTTTTGACATATAGGCCTGAATTGAAGCCCATTTGTCCATGAATAAATCTGTCTTCATTTGTAACCTTGCAGTTATTTGCTCCATATGATCTACATCCTTTATTTTATTTTTCCACTGGGTGATTGTGGGGGGCAGCGGCCTGAGCCAGGAAACCGTTATCATTTTTTTTGCAATTAAAATAAAATTTTCAGCAAATTAAAATGGCTATTTGTTCTTAGGTTGTTTGGAAAAATTCCCAACAGAACACTACATGGCTCTAATATAATTTTGATCCCCAAACAGTTTTCAATTTCGCATTGCACGTCCCTCCAAAATGTTGTTAGTTTAGGACAATCCCAGAATATGTGGGAATGATCCTCCACCAGACCACAGCCCCTCCAGCATCTGTCTGAGGTTCCACCAAAC